AAAAAAAAAAAAAAAAAAAAAAGATCATGAACATGGTTTGCATCAGAGTGAAACTAAAAGATCTTTAGCTTCTCACTTATTTATCACTTCCAAAATAAAAGTATTAGCTTAAGCCTAGGATTTAAACTATAACAAATAATTCAGAACATGTTTAGTGAACTAAACTGCAAAATACCCAATTCTAAAACTTTTTTGAGACAGTCTCACTATGTCACCCTCGGTAGAGTGCCATGACATCACAGCTCACAGCAACCTCAAATTCTTGGGCTTACGTGATTCTCTTGCCTCAGCCTCCCAAGTAGCTGGGACTACAGGTGCCTGCCACAAGACCTGGCTATTTATTCTAAAACTTACATTCAACAAAACTGGTAACTCCTAAAATGTGCTAGACATTGTGTGGGTAAGTGGAGAAAGATGTGCAAAAGCAAATATTCTTGCCTTCATGGGGCTTAAAGTCTATAGTAGTGGTTCTCAACCTGTGGGTCGTGACCCACAGGAACTGTATTAAAGGGCCGCAGCATTAGGAAGGTTGAGAACCACTGGTCTAGAGAGAAGTCAAATATTATTTTATAAAATTACAATATAACAGTAAAACCACTTCCCCAGAGGGAAGAAGATCATCCCTCTCACCCACAATTCTATATACAAAAAAGTGAGTATTGCATCAATATTACATAGAAATGAATAAAACTACAATTTCTGACTACCTTTACAAGTAGTCAATAAAGCCGCTAATATTGGAAGTCATTATTTGCATTTAGCCTTATTACATAATAATCAGATTAAGATCTGTTAGTTTAAGCAGTCTTGCATTCTCACTATCAATTTCACAAAGGAAATACGTATACACAAATCTCCACAAAGACTTAGAAAAAAAGGGTAACAATCAGAGAGAAATGTCTTGATAAGGAACTCTGTAATAGAATGACACCATAGAACATGAAAGCAAGAAAAACTAGTGACAAGAAAAAAAATCCTATATATTCTATTCTTTTGGCTGGCAATACTGAACAAAAAAAATGAAAAGTCACTATTAGGTTTTTTGATTATAATATTTTAAATCTATATGTAATATATAACTAAACTATAATGCAATATATAATTTAAGCTTGAAAATTTTCAATAGACTAAGCAGCAATTACTGCCTTGGAACAGTTAACCAAAACTAGATTCCAGCCCTGAAACTTTGTCACCTCCTAGAAAAATATCCTCCTCCCCAATTCACCACCACATTGCTACTCTCTATATTATCGGTGGGATGAACAATAAAACAACACAATATAGTACATAAGTCATTTATTGAGATTACATCTATAAAAAAACTTTAGAAGTGTGGCTTATAAATATACTGTCAAAATTAATTTTAAAAGAGGCTTGTATTTGCAGTCCTATGATCTTAATCCCCACCTCATCCAACCTATACTTAATCACCAGTTACATATCTGAATTTCCAGTTGGCTCTGGGCAACCTATGTACACAGACTGCTTTCTTACTCTTTTATATTTCTAAGGACAGAACTTAGAAGGTATGCAACAAATGTCTGTCAGACTGAATCAAATCAACACAGCGACAATATCACAATGGTTAGATTCTTTTACCATTTCAATACTATGACAACTATACTTACATATAAACTTACAAACACATTTGGAGGACTTCTCATTTAAAGTTTACATAAAATTGCAATTTATAGATTATGAGAAAAACCCTTAGGCAGCGCCCGTAGCTCAGTGGGTAGGGCGCCAGTCACATAGACCTGGCGTGCTCGAATCCAGCCCAGGCCAGCTAAAGCAACAATGACAAGTGCAACAGAAAAATAGTCGCGCATTGTGCCCGGTGCCTATAGTCCCACCTACTTGGGAGGCTGAGGCAAGAGGATCGCTTAAGCTCAAGAGTTGGAGGTTGCTGTGAGCTGTGACGCTATAGCACTTTGCCCAGGGCAACAGCTTGAGACTCTGTCTCAAAAAAAAAAAAAAAAAGAGAGAGAGAAAGAAAAGAAAAGAAAAACGCTTAACCATATAACATCTTGCTTAAGTTTCTGACCTTAAAATGATTGTTTTAAAATTATTTCATCCTTGGAGAAAATGTTACTAAATATCCTAGAATAAAATGTAGTTTATATAGTCTGTTACCATAAATTTGAGAAAGAACAACTAATTCAAGTTAACACACTTTCGGTGCCTTTTCCCCACTTAATTCTTGTTTCTGCCCATGTAGCTGCCTACTCACATTTTTAAAAGTCTTTCAGAGGCATCTTTGTAAAATAAACAGTCTTTTCTAAAAATAATGTAAATTAGCAATTTTAATCATTGGCTATTTTCTCCATCACAGCTATCTTGGATTCCAATGGGCAATTTAAGTACTTTAGTATTATTCTACTAGTCTTAATTCCATAAACTAAAAATCTGTAGATAAACTGGTAAGCAGGCAAGTTGTAAGCAGAAATCTGTGTTTCTCTACTATAACATGTAATAAAATTAGCAAATCATAATGTAGGGCAATTTAAGGAACCCTAGAAGAGATAAAACTATGGCATTCTCACACTAAATGACAAACTAGTGCCACTTGTACACTATCATCAGAAGTTCGGAGAGTTGTGTCCAACCACTTTTCAAGATATGTAAAAACCTCTGGAAATCAAACGAGAGAACTTCTCTTCTGTTTAGTCCATAAACAGGTGGCCTAGGTATAATTCTGGTAAGATTCTGGGAGAGATGAGTAAGACCCCTGTGGGGTCTTCCAAAAGCAGTCATTTATTCATCTCCCAAACTCAGACTAAGTAAAACACCGATCCCACTTCAGGGCCTGCGGAATCGAGAAGAATCAGACTCCAAACCCTGATGTCTAGGAGACTAAGGCGAGGTAGCGCGGAGGGTCAAGGCACACAGACGTGATCATCCTGGTATTCGAAGTTTAAGGTATTGACCAAATCTTTATTTTTTTCATCCATGTTTACCGAGGGCGTTGCATACAGCAGGTGCTCATTAACTGTTTGCTGAGTGAATAAATAAATGTGAAACACTAAGATGAGCCCGAGGCAACGGGTGCCCATTTGCCGCGGTCTCCGTGGCCCAGCCGCCTACGAGCAACCGAGACAGATCCCACCAGGCAGATCACCCTCTCCATTTCTGTAGCATCACGCAGCAGTAGCATCCAAAGGTCAGTTCGAGCCCAGGCCCGGGCTGAGCCAAACCCCCGCCTCCGGGCAGCACTCACCGTTGGTGCAGGGAGACCCCGAGGCCGAGGCGGCCCCGTTCTGGGACTGCAGCCCGGCTGGGGCACCGCCGGAGGCCGGCATTTCCGGCTGGGACATGACGACGGCGGCTGAGCTGGAAGGGCCCGTCAGGGTCGACAGCAGCGCCAAGCCTAGAGCTGGAAGACGACGACTGCTGAAGAGGGTGCAAAGGGCTAACGATTTAGGACTTAAGACCGGGAGAAGAGAGGGCGGCACATCAAGCCCCAGGCATATCGCCACACTCTCCCCGGCCCGCCAGCACCCAAAGCCTGGGAGCCGAGGCTTGGGAGTCAGGCCGGTCGGTGGGGCCTCGAATGCCCGGCTGAGCGGCAGCAAGCAAATGGGGAGAAGAGGGAGGCCCCGGCCGGAAGTGCCTGTCAGCCGCCGGCCGCGCAGGCGCACTCGGGACACGTGGCACTTCCGGCTGTGGGCACGCCGCCGCTGCTGGCGCTTTCTGTTCTCTGCGCGGGGCCTCCCCGAGGCCACCTGACAGCTCCCTGGCCTCCCGGCCGGGAAGACTATACCCCTCTCCTGCCACGTCACTGACGCTCACCGCCGGCCGGAAGTGGCGTGTGTCAGCGCTACGGAAATCCCCACGGTCGACGTAACCTGGCCGGCAGGTCCGGGGTCGAAGGGCAATCTGGGCTGCTGTAGCGGCTTGCGTGGGGTAGAACCGACAGTCTAGTGAAGATTACGTGACCTGCTGACGTCATCGTCCTAAATTGCGACTATACCACCACTGGTAGCCGAACCGGCTAATGTTCATCGCAGTATTTTATTTCTCATTTCGTCTTCATGTTCCAGGTGTAATAGTAAGGGATTTTTGAATAGAGGTGGTTAAACATGTATGTGTTAAAGTGTGATCAAACCGAGGAGGCCTTTTTTTGTTTTTGAGGCCTTTGCTTTTTGACTAGAGAGTTCAGAGGCTATTTAATTTTGAAATTTGCTGATTCATAGCATAGTCATGCTAAAATTCATTAGCTCCATGTTTAAGTGGCAGTTTTGTTTGCTCTTCTAAGTTTACAGTAAGGTAAAGAACTCAAATTTCCTTTTTTTGGGCTCAGCGCCTATAGCTCAACGGGCTAGGGCGCCAGCCACGTACACCTAAGGTGGCGGGTTCGAATCCCCAGCCCGGACCCGCCA